CCCTGGTGAAGCCTTCTCAGTTAGTTTCAAATCTATTTACTTTTCCAAACGTTTTAGTTATAGATCGTTGTGTTCAGCAAAAAAACCAATTGCTAGATAATGTTTCAAACAATCGAAATAGGGGTACATGGTCCAGTCCAGGTTGATATTCAAACATACTTGCCCTATATTGCACCCGATTAAGGTTTATACTTGGGCTTTAATTGAGATTTTTATTGTGGTATTCGGGAGGAGTCAGTGGTGATGTTATGGTATGCTTTATAAGTTTTTTGGTTTAGTTTACGCTATTTATGCGTGGTTTGTTCTATTTCTGGTATGTATTTTATGATATGCTTCATGATACTTGTGGTGAGGGCATGACTAAACAATTGTGTCCCCTTTTTTAATAACGACAAGCATGTTCATCTATTTATAAATATGAATTAATTGTGATAAATCTCTTTGCATAAAAAATCAATAATACAAAATGTTTCTATTTGCTGAAAATAATGTTAGTGCCATGCTTACAATTGGGTGTTAAACCCTAACTTATGTCATCAATCTCCGTTATAAGAATGTAATAAATAAAAAACCTCCATTATAAGAATTTTTTTTTATCCTAACCAACTCAGTTGTCAAACAAATGCCATCACAAATGCCTTTCCCTTTAACGAAAGCATACTGAGATAATGAGTCACTAAAGCGATCCTTTTATGGCGCTTTACAACCTTTATGGTTGGTTTATATCTCAAATTATGGGATAGAAAGAATTAATTTTTGACATCCATGATTAATTTTTGACTTTCAGAATTAATTAATTTATGGTTTTCAAGGTATCAGTGGAACAAGCTCCTCTCCTCGGCCGCAACGCTCTTCTGAAATTAACCTTCCAATTGTGAAGAGTACTTTAGGCATGAGATTCTGGAAGTAACCCCAAAAGAGGAGATTTAACTAGTATATCACTATGGAACTCCATGTGCTGGTTGTCGGCGTTCAACCAGGGTGTGATCGAAGCAAGCTTCTGGTGACCTTCGCTGACTTTTTGGAAGTTACAAGATGCAATTAATGGCTCATACGTTCAGTGTGGTTTTAACTAGTATATTGATAGCACGGCTATACGAGTTTAATTCTCCCCAAGTAGTGATGAACAATTAAGTTTCTCATTTTAATTTTGGCCCTTATTTGAAGCCTCGTTGGTAATAGCCATATTAGTTAAAGATGATTGATTTTGACTTTTGGATGTTACAATTTGATGTATGGGAGTTTAACTCCAAACTTGCTTTGAGTCTCATTCTGTTGATCTCATCAGAAGAATTCCTCTTCCTCGTTACTCACAGCAAGATATCATAGTGTGGCACTATTCCAAGGATGGAAAATACACAGTCAAATCAGGTTATCACTTAGCCCTGGAAATAGCATTGGCTCCAAGCCGAAAACCGATAGTACATATCATCGACCCTCCTTTTTGGAAAAAGACTTGGAATATCCAAGTCCCTCCTAATCTCAAATTCTTCATATGGCAATGCCTCAAAGTCATTCTTCCCACAATGGCGGCCCTTCAAACTCGTGGAGTAAACTACCTCAACCGATGCCCTGTCTGCTGGCGACATCGAGAAAACATTGAACATTTATTCTTCAGATGCCCCCTAGCCACTAGACTGTGGACTCTAGTGGGATTGAGCAAGTTTATTGAGACCGCCTAGACTGTTAACTTTAGTCTATGATGGCGACAAGTCATGGTCTCTGAGACCTCCCCATTCCACATTCTCCAATGCGTCTGTTTACTTTGGAGAATTTGGAAGTCTAGAAATAAAGTGACCTTCGAATTTTACCAACCTCATGTCCGTTCCCTAGCCAGACAGTTCTACAACCAGGTCCTTGAAGTCTCCAATCTTCTCCTTCCTCCTCCACCCCGCATCTCTCTACTCCGAAACCATCATGCCACCACTTGGGTCCCTCCGTCAGAAGACTTTTTGAAGATCATTTTCGACGCTGCTGTTTGTGCCACCGGGTGTTCGTCTGGGCTTGTTATCCGTGGGTCAGACAGGCATGTGGTGTTGGCGTTCGGGCTACAGCATCAAGGAATAGTCAATCCCTACCTGGCAGAGCTTCTAGCCTTTAGAGACGCTATCTCCATCGTAGCCTCAAGATCCTTGACCCGCGTGATAGTCGAAGGTGATTCTGAAATGGTCGTCAACCAAGTCCGTCAAGGCGTCATAGAAGATCGATTGGTGCTTCGGTTTTACGCGAGTGTCATTAGACCCTAAGATCTTTGTCTGTTTGTATAGAATTTAGGGCGGTACCTAGGTCCGCCAACAGTGCTGCCCATAGAGTGGCGCGTAAAGCACTGCTTTTGTCTCGTCTAGAGCTAGAATCTTTTAATTTTTGTTGGGTGGCTTCTTTAGATTCTTTTAGGGATCCCGGGTAGAATTGTAAATTTAACTCTTATCCTCCATTGATATCACTCGGAAATAAAAAAATACTGAGATAAATTAATCAGATAGTTAAGACACTCAGACAATTTATTGACTAACACCTTTGTAATGCATTTATTGAATACAATGCAATTTCCCTGAGTAATTCCAAATAACTTATTAAAAAAACTTCACCCTCATTATTTTATCAGTTTATCAATATTTATAAGTGTTATTAAAATCAAACTGAAACGTTCTGTCCGACCAGTAAAACCAATGCCCAACCACTTACTTGGTTCGGATAAGTTATTTAGCCGCCTTTTTTGAGCTGGCCGGTTAGATACTAGTTTGAACGGTTAGCCACTCAGACCGGGCGTACTGGACAGTCGACTCAATGCATCTAATTGCAAAACTCAAAAATAAATTCCCAAATGCGCATCAGAATAAGTTGGGAGCCTTCCACAACTTTCATTGAGAATGACTAAACGCCCCAAACCAAAACTCTCTCAAGTGTTGAAGGGGGGCGAGCTTTCACCTAGTTTATATACTGACAAGTTTCTTACTTAGTTTGAAGGGGGGCGAGCTTTCACCTAGCCCTCCAGACGCATCTGTCGGCACCCCTTCACCCCCTTCGCATCGGGCTCCTTCTCGATTCGGATCCAGATCGACAAATCAAGAGGCTAAGAGAGGAACTAACGGAAAGAAATCAAAGAATGCAAGAAGTTGGGAAAGGAAAGAAGAGAATAAGAGGGACGCTAGAGAGAAGAGCCATTGTAGGAATTAATTTCCTCTTTTGTATACATATATTAGTGAGGTGATTTCATAAGTAGGAATGATAATGAGTCGGATCGAGGGCGGATAGTGCATATTCGTTATCCTACCAAAGTAGTTCGGGTTTTACCCATATCCACATAAGAAACGGGTAGAAAATTGAAATCATGTCCATAACCGTTCTATTTTTGGGCATCCGTGGTTATTCATGGTAATAATTTTTCTTTATAACTACAACCAATATGCTAACATTCACATCGTATTCTCGTATTACATAAGAGGAAAAGTACAATAATATTTCACTAGAATGAAAAATTAATTAAAATAATACAATTTCATGAAAATATTATATTTATATGCTAAATTAAAATATGTAAGAGCCAAATGATGATTATTTATAGACAAAATACATATACATATGTATAATTGGGTGGGTTCGGGTTAGATAGTGAGAAAACCATGCCCATCCATTACCCTGAATATTCAGATTCGAGTTTTACCCGTACCCACTAAAAGTTCCTCGAATTTGGATTTTACCTTACCCGATTAGATCAGATTCGGGTGGATATCCACGATTACATATATTTTTGCCATCCTATTGGTAATTTCAGGTCGGCTTACAATTTAGAGGATAATATTAGGGTTTGGATGAGGGATAATTTTTGTGGGTTTTGAGCTCGGAGGGCCCAAAATTTTGGATTAATTTGTTACGGTTAAATTAAAATTAAGAAATTTAGAGTTTTTATTTATTGTGGGCATAAAAGTGATAGATTTGCTATTTATATTGTCCTTATTTACAAGTAGGGGTGGGAAACGGTGTGGTCCGGTCCAGACCAGACTATAGATACGGTCTGTGGTCCAGACCGAGAGGTTGGAACACAGACCATGGACCAGACCATATACTATACGGTCCAGACCAGACCACACCTATGCGGTGCGGTCCGGTATGATCTGGACCAGACAGACCATGTTAAAAAAAATTAACTCTTGTTCGCCCTCCAACCCTTCACCGGTATCTATAAAAAAAATCTAGTGACCAATATGCTAGTGAAACAAAAAAAATTGTGATCGTATTAAATGAGAAGAAATATGAGGATAGAAGTGGTTTTTTTTCAATTTTCAAATAGCCTTATTTCCCTATTCCTCTTTGTGCTACCGCTTCTCTCCTCTCTCGAGTGATCTGAAGGTTCTCCCAGTTGATAACCTTTTTGATGACGTCGAGGTAATTTCGAACCACTAAGATGGTCGCATATCTCTCAATAATTTTCCTTATCTCATCAAGGTGAACGAATTTTTTTTGTAGTGTTTAATTTTTATCGACTCCATAGTCTAGACATTATCTGTGAATATTATTTATGAGTCTTTCTAATTTTTGTGTGGTACTTTGATAAGGAGATAACATATAAGCGATCAATTTTCAATTTGTTGGCTCTCAACTAGATGAAGAATCAACTAACTTTGTTCTTCAAATACACATATGGAGGTTCAATTTAGTGTTATTTTTGTCCAAGGTAATAGGTAGTGTGTCGCGGTCTGTTACGGTTTACTGCGGTAGACCGCGGTCCAGACCATTTCAGACCACGCACTAAAGGAGGAGACCACAAACCAGACCAGACCATAATTCTGGTCTCACGGTCCAGATCAAACCATACGATACGGTCTAGACCGCGGTTTCCCATACGGTTTGGTCTGGATTCCCAGCCCTATCTACAAGGCAATGGCTCGTCTATTATCGGTTCAACCACTAAGATGTGACCCGTCTACTATATTGGTTCATGCTCCGCTTCTAGAATCCACGTTCTCTTTCTCCATTGGAGGAGAGAATAATTGCGTAGACCGGACCGCAGCCAGCGAATAACAACTAAATGCTCTGCTTACCAGCTGTGTGCTGTACTTGCCTTCCCAATCTCTGCGCTTCTCTCTTCCCTGAAGCTAACCTCGCCTCAATCAACAAAGCTCTCAAGATTTGATACTTCCCTTTCCACAGGAAATGCGACGACAGAGCGATAGGAGAAGGGCGAAGCTCAAGATCATGCCGCTGTCTTCTTTCCTCTCCGTTCTTCTGTGTATGGCACTCTCAATCCCTAGCGCGGACTCGAATCAGGAGAAGAGTTTGACTTCAATCTACGATGTCTTGACGGCGAAAGGACTTCCGAAGGGCTTGCTGCCTAAAGGGGTTACGAATTTCAAAATTGACGAGTCGTCGGGGGATTTCGAGGTTCACTTGGATCAGGCCTGCAATGCCAAATTTGAGAACGAGTTGCATTACGACTGCAACGTCACCGGGAAGCTGAGCTACGGCCAAATCGAATCCCTCTCCGGAATCTCGGCCAAGGAGCTCTTCCTCTGGTTTCAGGTGAAGTCAATTAAGGTTGACGTTTCTGACTCGGGGATTATCTGTTTCGATGTTGGGGTCGTTGTGAAGAAGTTTTCGGTTTCGCTGTTCGAGCTTCCCAAGGATTGTGCTGTCTCGGCTGCTGATGAGGCCAGGGAGGAAGTCCAGAGCGGGCGGTTCATCGAAGATGCAGTGACCGAGGTTACTTCTTTAGCTCCATATCTATCTTTATCAAACTCCGCTCAATTGGCTCTGGCCCGCGCTAACTGCAATCTGTGGTCGTTCAATTGCATTTCTCGTTTGATATGTGCAGAGTCGGCGTGGTGAAGTAGTAAGCTTTGGAAGGGATGTTCTGTAAATGGGGTTCTCATTTCACCATGAAAGTTTAATGGACGAATTCTTTCTTCTTGTTTCCCTCCCCACATTGGGAACGAACTACTGCTACTAGCTTCAGCGGATGGGGTTTTTTTTTTATAGTGGACGGGATTCAGATAACATCTGAAATGAGGGATGATTGTAGCAGAACACAAGATAAAGTGGGGGCAGGAACTTTTGGAGGAGGTGATCTCAGGTGATAAATATGCCTACTCGTTAAGTTTTTTTTGTGTGTTCAAGTTTTCTGATAGATATGGATATAGGTTCGGCAAGTTTGTTGTTTCCGAGTGCTTCTTTTGTGATAGAAATGATGCGAGTTGCGTTTGTTTCAGGAATAAAAATTCTATAAGTGATTCGATTGATGGGATTTCGTATTATACTTATGAGATCGATGAGATTGATGTATAAAGGTTATTGTTGCCGCCATGTTTCGTACTAGATCTTTGATCTCAATCTCCATATGTAGTATTGTAGTGTGGATTTATTCAGTTGCCGGTGAATTATCGGTAGTGCACAATCCATCTCTCTGTTGCTGGAATTCATCAGAGTTTGAGCAGCAATGATATATGAGTAATCCCAGTGTTGTTGATATTACTATTAGCCAACCGGGAATTTTCTTGAGCACTCTTTTTTAATTTGATTAGAGAGGTTTGATTTGGCATCTTCAAAGCACCCCAAGTGGCCATAGGCTCAGATGGAAATTGCTGTCTACCGTCTAAAGGCTGACTACAAGTTATGCTGGAATCAACGGTAAGAGATGTCAATCATATTTATAAGTTGATCTTCTTCATCGGGCAATGTTGCCGGACTAGTAGGTTTGATCAGCTAGCCACCTTTGCATTGTGCGGAAAGAGTACAGATTACAAAATCTCCCGAGCTTATCTTTGACGGCCTCTTCCATTTCACTGAGAGCCCTGTCTTTTGCTGTTTTTATTCTTTTTCCTCCTATTTTGTCTCTTGTTTGCTTTGACAGGGGCAAATGGAGAGTTGCAGTTGAAAATATGGAGGATCAAGGACAGGAGTTAAAGAGAATACTACAACAAAGAAGTGAGTTTGGCAAAATCAGAATTGTCACTCAGTTCAAATCTAGATGCTGAACAAAGAAGAAAAGTGGCAGATCTGTTTGGTATGCGACAGGTGCTACATCATGATGAATACAAAGGGTTTCCTACTATGGTCATTGGCCTGTCAAAGAAAGCAGTCCCAGTGTCGAGGAATAAAACCCTTTCCAATGCAGCTAAGGAAGTATTTATCAAAGCAGTGGTGCAAGCACAAGGCTTTGTTAGTTTTCCTAATTCTCCAGGGGATGATTCATGAACTACAAAGCCTGATAGTTGGCTTCTGGTTGGGAAGGAAATGGGAATAAAGATGAACTCATTGGCTAAGTTGGGAAGACAGGCATGGAACTTGCTGGGAAGACCAAATTCATTGGTGGCAAGAGTATTCAAGGCAAAATATTATCTTGATTGAAGCATAGTAGAAGTAGAAGTGGGAAGTAATCTAGCTAAATATGGAGAAGTTTGATAACACCCAACAATTGGCGAAGGAAAGAACAAGGTGGAGGATAGAGTACAGGGGAACAGGTCAGAGTATGGAGGGATAAATGGATTCCAGATTGTCGTAATCACAAAGTTGAGACCCATATAATAGAATTGAGGATGCAAGCTAAGGTAGTGAAATTTAGGGGTGAAACTGGGCCAAACCCAGCCCTGACCCTGCCACTACCCAAAAAAACCCAGCCCTGCATGCTTTAATATTTGGCCCGACTCAGCCCGACCCTATTCTCATTTGGCCCTGTATGGCCCTGTTGGGTCGGGTCGGGCCATAGGGTCGGCCCAACTTCTTTTTATACAATATTAGCCCATTTAATTATTTAATATCAAATTAAATTTTAAAAAATTGCAGGTATATACTAGAAAATTTAAATGAGTTCATAACAAAAATAATCTAAATTAAATAAAGAAATTATTTAAACTAATTCAAAAAATAAAATTTTGACTACAAAAATTCCAACTAATTCGAGGAATTTTAAGATAGTCCAAATTCCTATACCAAAAATCCGAATTAATTCAAAAAACTCAAAATTAATTCCAAAAAATTAAAATTACATCTAAAAAGTCTAAATCACCTTACGATAAATCCAAATCAAATAAAAAAAATACAAATTACATCTAAAAAGTCTAAATTACCTTACGATAAATCCAAATCAAATAAACAAAATGTAAATTACATATAAAAAGTCAAAATTACCTTACAATAAATCCAAATAAAATAAACAAAATGCAAAGTATGTAAAAAAGTACAAAATTTCGCAATTCATCAAATACATCGCTCATAATATCAAATATATCATCTTTCAATCATCATCAACCAAATCACTCATGATAGTACTATCATCCAAGCAAAACTCCTTTAACTCTGCAAAATTAACAAAACCACAAATAAATTAATAATAGTATAAACAAATGATAAAGTGTTAAAACCACATTGTTGATCAAATTCATACCTTGCTCAAGTTCTTCAATTTCCTCAAACTTCTCTTCCATATCAATTGGAAGAGTACTCGATCGGAGCCAATTCTGACCACAAATCAAACTTTCAACGACCAAGGGAGTCAAGGAACTCCGAAATGCATCTAGAACGCGTCCACCGGTACTGAAAGCGGACTCGGATGCAACAGTAGATACTGGAATCGCCAAACACATCTTTAGCCATCAAACCCAATATCGAGTACTCACTAGAGTGCTTCTTCCACCACGCTAAGATATCAAAATTCTTATCCTCATCATCCTCAATGTTTGCCTTTAAATACCTCTCAAGTTCCGAAATAGTAGTATCTCCTGCTCTGTCTTCTAATCTCTTTCTTTTAAATTTTCTCTTCAGATAATCCTCAACATTTTCACACTCCTCGTTCTCGTCATTTGGCTCTACACTCCCCCCACTTCTTGAAGAACTTCCACAAATAACCCCTCTCATTTCTAAATAGTTCTTGAACATGTCATCCATAAAACCCTTCACCTTATTATGCAACTCCTCCTTGGTCCAATCTCCCCCATTATCTTTCCCATAAACTTCATCAAGTGCAAAAACCACATATTCTAGCTTGTATCTCGGGTCAAGAACCACAGCAATAAATAATAAGGGGTTAATATTGTCCAAATTGCCCCAATACTTGTCATGCTTAGCTTTCATTCTCTTTGCCATGACTTTATGACCATACACTTTAGATGAAGTTTCCTTTTTAAGCATGCAAGCGATTCCATATATTACATGAAAGAGATCATTGCTTGTGACATACAAAGATCCCGAAACTTTTATTGTAGCATCATAAAATATCTTCAGAAATGGAACTAGAGACTCCACATAAGACCAGTCCAACTCCTTTGGAGTCCCTTTCAACTTCTCAAGCTCAACTTTATACTTGGGATCCTCCTCCTCTAACCTCTCAAATGCCCTTTGAAATTTCAAAGCCGACTCCAACATCGTGAAAGTAGAGTTCCATCTAGTCTCCACATCTAAACATACAAGTTTTTTGGTCTCTAACTTCTCTTCATGAGCACAAGTTTTAAATCCCTGACTGCTGATCGAATACGATAGATTGAATCATCAACATCCTTTAATCCATCTTTCACGGTCAAATTCAATATGTGAGCACAACATCTCATATGGAGATGTTGTCCTTTCAAGACACCTCCCTTCCAGTTGTTAATTCTTTTCTTCAAATATGACATGCCCACATCATTAGAACTTGCGTTATCCACTGTTACAGTCAGGACCCTATCAATCCCCCAACTAAGCAAATGTTTTTCAACCATCTTCCCAATTGTTTGACCCGAGTGATTAGGAATAGAAGAGAAGTTGATAATCCTTTTTTGCATCCTCCAATCATGGTCAATGAAGTGGGCAGTAAGACTCATATAATCCAGATGATGTCTACTTGCCCAAATATCAGTTGTTAGACAAACTCTGATTTGTGATTGCTTAAAGAAACTTTTCAACTTTTCCTTCTCAGCCAAAAACAACTTGAAACAATCTTTTGCTACAGTGATTCTAGAAGGAATATGAAACTCAGGTCTTAGTGAGTAGACGAAATCACGAAATCCTTCACGCTCAACATGTCTAAAAGCTAACTCTTCTATGATAATCATTCTAGCAAGCTTCATTCTTGAGACAGTTGGGTCATATGTTTGAGCTACAAAAGAGGGAGATGCATTGGTAGTTGCCTGAACGCTAGGAGTTCTATTACTCTTCAAGTTAACATCACTATACGGGTATACTCTACATCTTTGCAAATGTCTTCTCAAACTACTAGTCCCAGAAGTAGATGCACACTTCAATTGCTTTGGACAGTATTTGCAACCAGCAAGCCTATTTGGCTTATCCGACCAATTCATTCTTGTAAAGTGTGACCACACATCTGAAGTTCCGAATGCACCTTCTTCACTCTCACTAACATTCGTTGGTAGAACTCGTTCGGAAGGTGTGCCGGTAGAGTTAGCCATGGGATTGTTACTAGTTGCTTCGTCCATAATTTCAAATCTAAAAATCACACAAATATAAAGAGTGGTTAAAAACCTGAAATCCACATGGGACTAAGCCTCAATTACTTATTATTTCTAGTTACACCATGTGTGGATTTTTATATTTTATCTGAATTTTTTTAATTGTTATTCCACTTGTTGGGTTGTCTTAAACTACAATATTAAGATGATGATACATTTCATATACATTGTCGTACATAACATAGATGCATGCAAAACTATGTTTCGAAAAACAAAACCATCTAACCTAAAAGGTGGTCAATACTATGGTCTCATGACAAACAATAAAATGCATGTGGTTGTAGTTGGGTAATTGATCTAATTACAAGGGATTGGCTGTGAAGACAAGTGGTCTCCCGTGGGCATAACCCATCGGCATGACTCACTCGTTCTTCGCAAAAAAGACCCTAAAAGGTTCAAGGTGGGCCCGGTGTAGGACCAATATAAGCTTGGTAATATTATTTCATATGCACATGCAAAATCAAAATACTAAAATTCATCCATAATTATAAAATATACATCATTTAACACCACTACGCATATCTCTTCATGTTAAGCATTTAACACCACTAATCGCCAGATGAGTAGGTGTCAGGATTACCTGCATAATTATCAAATACTAATTAGATGAACTCAGAGAGTAGTTAAGGGCTTCATCCACAACCTTGAACATAAATTTCCCCCACAGGAAAATGAATGAAAGAACAACCAACCTCTTTGAACCTCACAATGTTGATCCTTTTTCTTCTTCCCTTTCATTCTTGAACATTCCCATCCTGTGATAAAAACTCAAGACTGTAACTCTGCAAAGTACAATGTCTTTGAAAACACAAGTTAGCTGCTATTTATGGGAAGCCTGTCCCTTCCTGTCCTTCGATGATAAGAGTACCTGGGGCCCAGATTTGTTGAATACAGCCTAGCTAGAAAAAGTCATTACAGAAAACAGAGTATGGGGGGAATTCAGAGAGACAGAGGGTAGGGAAAGGGTAAGAATCGATACATCAAACCAACTATATTTGAAGAAGACGAAACTAAATGGAAGGATGACTGTGAATGAACAAGTTGCATGGAGTGGACGACAAAATTATCACAGTAACTGAAGGTAAACCTGGTAATTGGCTGAATTCCTGGACTTTTGAGGGTTTTAGAGTGTAGGGATCAAGGGGTGACTGAATTCCTGGACTTTTGATAGTGAATTTGCTAATTGGCTGTCTGCAAGCACTGTGTAATCGAACAAACAAGCACTGTTTAGCTACAGCGGAAGAACGAATTCAGTGTTTGTGGAATTGGGTCCAAAGCGTGTAAATTGAAAACCAAGTTCTTCTCTGTTAGACACAACAGAGCCTAGGTATATTGGTCAGAATTTGATTCGACTACCAAATCAACAAACACTAAATTATACAACCATCCTTGATTCCGCCCAAATCATCAGGACACTACAGACATGCATCACAGATTATGAAAATCCTCATCATCATTAAGAAAAAATCAATAAACTTTTATAAATCAATTATCCTTGAAACAAAGTTGCAACCACAACCATCAAATGAACTTTCCTCTGACGGGAATTGAAAAACAAACAAAGCTTCTCCCATTCTCGTCAGCTGAATCTCACTAGTCTTTCCCCATAACCAATTAACCCAGTATAGAATTGAGGTTAGCGTTGGAGACTTACCCAGAAACTACCTAACAAGGCTGAATCCAGCGCCGGGGAGACGACGGGGAGCTAGAACGAGTAAGGAAAGCTGTTGCGGCGGGGGGAAGGGGAGGGCGGCGGCGGGAGGGTGAACCCGAGTGCTGGACCGGCACAGAGGATGAAGGAGATGTGGCAGCAGGTGCTGGCGAGCGGCGGCGGGGGGTCGACGATGGGGGAAGCGATGGCGGTGGTGAAGAAATCGACGAACCCGAAGGAGGAGTTCAAGAGGTCGACGATGGAGATGATAGCGCAGTCGCCAGTCGGCACTATTGCGAGGAAAGAAAGGGATGGAGCAGAAATGGGCTGGGTAATTAGAGACTTAGGGTTAAAATGGGTCAAAGTGGGCTTGAATGGGTTTTAAGGGTAAAACCCAAAAATACCCTATCCTCTAGGGTCAGAATGTGACCCGGCCCTATTTTGGCCCTAAACACTAATTGACCCTACCCGACCCACAGGGTTGGGCCGGGCTGACGGGTAGTAAGGGCCATAGTTACAGCCCTAGTGAAATTGATTGATTAATGGAAAAAAGACACGGAAAAGCAATGTTCTGCAAGAAAATTTCCAGCCCGTCGTTAGGAACAGGATCTATCCGATAACACTACCCCAAACACATCAGCAGGATATTCAGATTTGGGGTGAGATAAATCTGGAGAATACAAAGTTAAATATGGGTATTTTGAGTGGAAAAAGAAAGAAGCAGAGGTGGAAAGTGAATGGTAAGTTCCAGTGGAGTGGCAAAGGATATGACATCTCAAGATTCCCTCAAGGTGAGAGTATTCTTATGGTGCTAGGGTATCAATATCCTACCCACATGAAGAAATTTGGGCAAACGAATCAAGGAAGCTTGTGATGAATGCCCTTTTTGTGGTCTTATAAAAATTTAAGAGCACATAATAAGGGATTGTGATTGAGCCGCAAGAGTATGGAGACCCAGTTTAGGAGATTCATCTCTCCTTTAAGCTTCGTAACCTTGTTTCGCGAGCTAGCCAGCTCGGCCCTAATAATCTCTCTCAATGACTCGATGGTGTTGTCAAGGATTTCAAATAGCTCATTGCGAAGTGCCTCCAAACCCTCTTCCAACCATGTCATGCGTTGCCCAATGCCTTGCATGTCGCCCATGTTTTTTTTGTATTCTTGCCTCCACTTCCGCATGGCCTTGGCGCAAACCCTCAATTGAGTCGATGTGCTCGATTATCTTTAGCTCTACCTTCGCAAGAGGGTGCCGCATCACGAGCTCTTGAATGACTTTTTCCCTCTTTTCCTTGCTTGGATTAAGATTCTTCACTTGATCCCTTCCTCGTTCATCATCGTAAACTTCGGATACAAACGCCATCTCGTTATAGAACCAGGCTTTGATACCAAATGTCACAGGCTAAACCTTGTTGTGTGGCCTAAGCGCTCAAGTTTCGATAGAAAGCTAAGTCAACCATCACTCACAATCGCACACGCTCACAAGATTAGATGAACTCTTTCTAGAGATGTATTGCTCTCAATATTTGTGGAGTAATACAAATGAGGGGAGGTGCTCCTTATATAGGCCTCACCTCCAAAATGGACGACTAAGATTAATCTAATCCAACGGCTAGGATCTACTATCTAGAATTCTCTACATTAATAGGAAGGGCAAATTGGTCCTAAATGACGAAATTGAAAGTCAATGATCAATTCTCACCTAAAGTGGTGGAACTTTCAAGTCTGTGGGGCCCACTGATTTGTTGCCCCTAAATATATTAATCAAACAATGGAGTTTGGACAAAGTCCATTGATGGATCCAAATCCATCATCAAATCCATCAAACAAACAACCACTATGACTCCTCAATCTCCTGCTATCCAAGGATAGTTGTCCACTGCGAGTGCTGGAGGAAATCCAAGAAAATTGATACTGAGAAGCGGAGTTCCTTGAATGAGACTCCTCCTCTTCTTCTATGATGGCTCCCTCTTCTTGAGTCGAGCTTATCTCCTAGGTGGAGCAACTACATCCGATTATGCTTGTGGTGGACTTGATCATATGTATCGTCTAGAAGATGATGCACCATCAACCTTCTTCTCCTTGTGACGTCCTAAGAATCCTGGAAAAGGGTTCTTCATTTTTGCATCATAGAAAAATAACCAAATCAAATCTATAAAAAGAGAATTAACCCTATACTTAAGAGTGTGGGTTCTTTTATAAGCTAACTATATGACTTCTAATATACGCATTATTAAGATAGCATATACTCATCTATTTTAATAAAATGTTTAAAGCACATAATGATAGTTAATATTCAAGCTCATAATAGTAGAATTAAATTAACCATATATCTTAATCATACTAGCATTGATAAGCGTAAATCATATAATTAAGCAAATGTACAATTAAAATAAATGACACATGTAAAATGGCATTAGCACAAGCAAATGACAGTTGATCAATTTAATTCAATGAAGCATTAAAATTTCTAGAAATCATCCAATTCCCTACTCATTGAATTCTTTTTGGTATTACTAATGCTTATACCATTTTTTTTTTCAAAAACTAGCATAACTTGACAATGATTCTCAAAATAATTTTTAAATATGCTATGCTTTATTTTGAAAATTTTTGGCATCACCCTTGTTAAAATTCATCAATCCATCCAAATATAAATACATTTAAAACATTATAAGCAACCATAAAATCTCATTCTATCATCAATATGCTAAAAGCCTCAGTTGCATCCAAGAGTGCTGAAAATTGCAAGGTAAACACCTTACATTTAATATGCAATTATATACATTAAATTCTCATTTGAAGCTCTAAATTCATCTTGAAATTATAGGTACTTACTTGAATGGAAGAACTCATAAATTAAAAAAAAAAATTGATGAATGTTTAAAGAGAGTGGTGGCGGTGGCGAGACGTGTATGCCCGCCATTGGTAGTGGTGAATATTTTTCAAAAATTTCTTGAATAGCCGCCTTACCCGTCTTACTGGTGGTGGTGAAGATTTTTTGGGAGCTAATTTTGAGTTTTGGAGGTGAATTGAGTGATTAAAAGTTGAAGATTTTGGGAGAAATTTGGAAAATAAGAAGAAGAGAGAAGGGAGAGCTCGAAGTGGGCCTTATATAGTCATGAGGGGAGCGACAGGCATGACCACCACGAAGTCGTCGAGGTCATCAGTCTCGATTTTCGTCGATATTCTATGTTTTCATGTCAGTACACTAACATGGTCTGTACAAAATTGGATTTTGTACATTCTCTCTTTGTCAATACTCTCCATCTCGTTATAATTTTCAAAATTTTGCTCCAAATGTATCATCTATCCAAAGGGATAAAATAAATTCCTCCAATGAGTGACTCATACTTAGCCTGCTTTGTTGGCTTGGTACCTTGTTGGCTCCAGATTTAGCCAAATTTCATGTTTTTCATGTCATGGTACCTAGCCCTGCCTTGCCAGGTTGGTTTGTCATGCTTGGTACACTCAGCCTACCAAGCTCTTTCGTTGACTTGGTACCCTGTTGTTTGGCCCCCTATTGCTATAGCTCGTATTACACCCTGGCATATGGCCCCATGTTGCTATGGGATTCCATGCTTAGCCAAATTTCATGCTTGGATACCAGGCCTGTCTTGCCGGCTTGGTAATTTGTTGGCTCCATACTTAGCCAAATTCCATGTTGTGGTACCATGCCTGCCTTGCCGGTTTGGTACCCTGTTGGCTCCATACACCATACTTAGCCAATTTTCATGTTTGGGCACCTTATTTGGTACCCGGCTTGGTATTTGATCGTCTGGCACCCTGTTTTGTCGCCTTATTTCCAGACTTAGTTTTTGAGAGCCAAATTTCATATCAAGGGGTGGAGGATCGTTTGGCTATGGGGTCAAGGAGACGGGTCGCCCATCATGTATGAGATAAGGAGTTGGGCCACTTAGGCTTAAAAAACTAACCCAACAAGGCTCATCTAGCTCTTTTAATTATTAATGTTGAGTTGGGCTTATAAATCCATTAACTCTCTAGTAATTAATCGATGTGGTACGAATTGAGTTTTTTTATGGGTAAACACTTCCTTGTGTGAGTTTGGGAAACACTTGGATGTTCTTATCATGGTCGAGATCACTTTGACTTGCTCCTTCTTTGGATAATTCCTAGTATTGATAGGAATGTTTCCTCGAGGCTTTTGAGGTTCAAAACCAATCACAATTGCAAGTTGACATTTGATACTTTGGTAGTGTTTTTGCAAACCAATGATTGTTGCTTCAAGTTTCTCGAATCTGGTAAGTTGTTGATTAGAAGAACTTCTTCCCTGCTCCTTGTATTGAGGTTGATTTCCAAGTCTAGGTGGACTTGGCTTCTTGTCACATTGTGTTTCACGAACAAAAGAGGCACTAGTAGAAGTGATATTGGGATAATCTTCGGGCTTCTTTATTCGGGCTTTAGTTGGTAGTTTTAATTAATGTAATTGACATCATCATGCCCTTGACCTCCATGGCTCCAACTTTTGAGTCCTTTATGACCTTCTTCTCCACGAGCTTCACACACAAACATGGAAGTCACTTACTCATTCTGTTGTTCCATTGAGGTTTTGTTTAGTTGATGAGAGAGTTCCTTCATATTCACACACAAGATGGTAGCTACTTCCTCATTTCCTTGGACATGTTTCAAGGGTTACATTGATGGTTGTTTGGAGTTTGGACTAGTTCTTCGACTTCCTTGCTAGTGTGGTGAAATGCTCTTAGCATTGAGCTCTCGTCATTGTAGTGAAATCACCATCGGCGGACTGATTTACCATCATTATGGTATCTCGATCTAAACTTTTGGCTAAGTACTTAACAAACTTCTCTAGTGTGAATCCATGATGGGGTCAATGCTTTGAGATGCTATTTGAATCTCCTCCAAACTTCATAGATTGTTTCTCCTTCCTTTTGATGGAATAGTGTGATTTCATCTTTCAGCTCATCTATCTTCCATGGTGGAAAGAATTCTTCAATGAAAGCATGTGCTAGGATTTCCCACGTGGTGAAGGTGTCTTGTGGATGGTAATCTAACCACTACTTCGCCTTTCCTATGTGCGAGAAAGGAAAGGTCATAGTCCAATTGCATCTCTACTAGCTTCATTTCCTATAATGGAATTGACAATCTCCAAAAAGGTATTCACGTTTTTGCACCATTTGGATGAGTTAAGTATGAATCTCAATGTCTGTTGGTAGTGCAACAATGCTGATCATGTATTCGAGGCTTTGGGTCTTGAATATTCATACATAGTAGGTGGGACGACTACTCTTTGCTCTTCTATCATTGTTGGTGATGTAAAAGAGGATATGAAAGATTTCTTCTCCTAGATCAAAGCTGCAGCGTTCGTCAATGTTCTCCTTCCAACTAGAGTTGAACTCTTGATGGGTAAGG